AAGCATCCTTGATTATAGCAACTTGAGGTATGAATTTGTTCTTCAATTCCTTGAGCTTAAGAAATGCTGAGCAAGTTCGGCCCTTTTGATTTTCTGACTCCAACTCCTTGCACATTTCATTGTAATATTTTGCTTTGTCATCCCGTAGATCTCTTAAATATTTTGAGCATGTTTATATGCGTGTGTGTGTTTTGGAAAATTTATACTTTGCTTAATTGGAAGCAGGAGTGGCATCCACTTCCTAAACAACATGCCTCCGGAAACCCTATGAACTTTGATATGAACTTTGATAAATGTTGATAATTGTAGAGGGACTTCAAGCCTTTTGTTCATAGGATCGCTATGTGTCATGCTTGACTTGAAGGCAATCAACAACAACTTACAGAAGCTTTAAAAAGGAGTGTACGGGGTGTCCGTTTGGCCTATGTTTCTGGGCAAACCGCTGTCGCTTGGGCCATAGAAGTTACCGTGGAAAAATGGCTGAAGCAGTTTTCTATCCTCCAAAGAGGAAAAGAAAAGTATGTGAGCATTATGAGTCTCCATTTCCAATCCCTTTTGATCAGGACCATGTTCCTAAGAAAGAATTTAAAATGTGCCATGCTGAAATGATGAACAACAACATAATTGTGAGGAATGAAGAGGATATTGAGCAACTATATGGGAAAGGTTATTTTGGAAAAAGTAGTCTATCAAGGAGCCGTCCAAACTTTACAATTTCAGATCCTAAGCTGGTTGCTAAATGGAAAGGTATAAGGACAAGCAAGCCCATAATTACATCAAAGAAGTACCAGCAAGGTGTGGAATGGGCTGCCAAACTCCTTTGTAGACAGGGACAGGAGGAAAGCACTGTGTATAACATCTTACAGGAGTATACCAAGCCACTTAAACAACCTTCTTGGCATAAATGTGAAGAGGCTCCTTTTCAGGGTGAGCTCAACTATGAAGTGGATCCCAAAATGGAAGCCCCAGAAGGTAGAGAGGAGCTTCTTGTGTTCAACAGAGACACTAGAGTGTCTGATAGCTTGGAGGACCTGAACCAGCAAACTCACCGTCCATGGCAGGCTTCCAGGCAGAATATTGGAACTACAAATGGCTCCAGTGGACTTACAGTAGAGGATGCTGCACCCTTGTCCCATAATCGGCACAGCCACCATGGTGATCTCATCATGCCTAACACTCAGCCAAAGGATGGATGGTGTGAAAGTGTCCCCTCTAGCAGAAAAAGCAGGCCTGATGACAAGTATGTGCTTGTGGAGGAAGTGGTTAGTGGTGTGAGCACGGGAGAGGATGCACCGCATGAGGAATTGGTACAAACAAAGAGACTAATATGCAGAAGCATTCTTCCTGGTCTATGCTCTGGGATGTCTTAGTATTTCCTTTGAGAAGGAGCCTCTGACGATAATGAAACTCTGGAAGGCTTTCACTGCTGTTCAGCCCTCATTCAGGACCACATATATGGCCTACCTTCATTTTCGAAGCAAGGGCTGGGTGCCCAAAGTGGGGCTCAAGTATGGAACAGATCTACTGCTGTATCGCAAAGGCCCTCCATTTTACCATGCAAGTTACTCTGTCATCATTGGGCTGGTTGATGACCATTTTGAAGGATCTCTTCGCAGACCTTTCAGCTGGAAGTCACTGGCAGCCCTAAGCAGGGTCTCAGTTAATGTCTCGAAGGAACTTATGCTATGCTATTTGATTAAACCTTCTACTATGACTGACCAAGAAATGGAGTCACCAGAATGTATGAAAAGAATTAAAGTCCAGGAGGTGATTCTAAGTCGTTGGGTTTCATCACGAGAGAGGAGTGACCAGGATGAACTTTAATAACAACTCAATCCCAATAGTCTAATTTCAATGACAAGCGTTTATTGAGGCGGGATTCAGAGCTATTGTGCATGGGATCACTATGAGTCATGGTCAACTTGATGATACATAACAACAACATGCCAAGTTCCAGGCAATTTAAAAAGTCTTTGTCTTGTAAACACACTGTATTAAAAGTTTTTAAAGTGCCTAGTAAAGGTGTTACTGTTAGTGTTTTAAAATATAGAATTGACACATGGAAAAGCTAACTGGCTGACTGAACCTCAGTGTTCATCTTTCTGTTGAACGAGGTGTTTGACAAGATGTTTCCTCAGAACACTGTTCCAGCCACAGAGAAATTCTGTTACTCTCTGGATTTACTTGAAAATGGTAACTGTTTACATTGATCTGCAAATTATATTCTAGTTTATAAAGCACTTTTATTTACATTGTCCAGTTTAGTTTGTTCCTGAAAACCTGTGTGAATTTTGGAGTTGAGAACCTGTATTCTATTATTCTACATGGAAAAAATAGTAATATGTCTTAGGCTGTCCATGAACTTAAACCAATTAATAAGCCACTTAAAAATCTACCTACCAAGAATATCTACGCCATGTAAAGCATGAAGTACCTACTTACTGTTAGAAACAAACATAAACTTCTATTGTTATGGCAGAAAATGCGAGATTTAAACACTCAGCTAATATTGGAAATTAACACCTTTAAAAAAATTTTATACTAGTTATTTACAAAATTCGATTACATTGTTTTTGAGAACAGTCTTTCATTTCCCCCCCCATGAAATTGTACAACCACATGATGAATCCCTGTCCGTCACCCCAGCACATCCTCATCCCTCTGCTTCCAACCTCTCCCACCCCTCTTAGATACTTATACTCATTCTAAAATAATGGTTTTATACAATATTTATCCTTGTAGGATTAAGTTAGTTCAGTCAGCATAATGCTTTCCAGTCCCTCCTAAGTTATATAATAATTTACAAAATCATTGCTCCTGCATACTACATGGTATTCCATTTTGTGCATGTACCATAATTTCTCAATCTATTCGATTCTGGTTGGACATTTGAACTGTTTCCATGTTCTTCTGATGGTGAATAACACTGCTATGAACATTGGTGTATAAGGCAAAAAAAAAAAAGGAGTGTACGTCCACCGAACTCATGAAGATACTTTTATTACCCATGACTGCTTTTGGTTTACATAATGCTCCTCTTTAAAAAAACAATTTTAGGACTCCTTTTCTTAATAACTGATGTTCAATGAAAATAGAGATACTAGAAATATAGTTTCCTATTTAGAACCTTCATTTTTGTATTAACAGATTTCTTATAAACAAGAAACTCAGCCTGGAAATGGGTGCAATTTAAGTTAGAACATATCAAACTAGGGTAAATGATGCAGTTTCTGTTAAGTCCTTAGAGGATGTATTGTCATGAGCCTTTAAACTGCTAGTATGTCTTCCACAAATATTCCTTAAGTATTAAACTCATTACAATATTCTTCATAGCAAACATATTTCATAATCCTTTTTCAGCAATTATAACAATTTTGTAATTCATAATAAGCCGATTTAATATATATTTTTCTTACACTTAAACTACTCATAATATATATACACACTAATTTAAAAAAAAGCCCTTACGTACTCAAATCCATGATCTGGCCTTTAGTGCAAACTTAAACCACAACCAACAAACTCAAGGTTTTCAAGGCTTTGATGTAATAACAGCCTTCTCTAAAGCAAACATAACTTCTTAAACCAGAATATGGATGTGTGCTCAGCACTAAAAATATTTTACAGTAATTGGCCAATATTAGAACGTCAAAGCAGATGATTCAATTTCAAAATCTGCCTCATTTTTAAAAAAGGCTCATTTCCAAAAACCAAAGAACACACAAGAGGTCAGTTCTATCTGCTTACCAGTTGCTATTTGCTTACCATCAGTTATTAGGTTCATTTCTGCCTTTCCTATCCTCACTTCACAGAGATGCACACAGTATACTGCTGAGCCTGAATTAATTGAAATCATATACTTGGCAAATAAGTCTAGTATGGTGAAAATTTTGAGAGCAGAGAAAAGTCAATGGATAAGGCTAAAAACCCATATTGTTGTTGTTATGTGCCATTGAGTCACTTGTAACTCACAGCGACCCTGTAACAGTTCTGAATCCTGCTTTTACCTGTGCCAACCTTATTGTCTCTGACACATCTGCCCATTACCCTAGTCACTGAGTCAGTCCATCTCATCGAGGGCCTTCCTCTCTTGCACTGTTCTCGACCCTCCCAAGCATAATGGTATTCACCAAGGACTGGTCCCTCCTTGCAACATGCCCAAACTATGTCAGACAGAGCTTCACAGCTCTCCATAAATCACTGAATAAAGCTAAGACGTCTAAGAAATGGTCATGCAAAATAATTTTGTACATAACTTGACATATAGCTTCAGATACTCACAGGTAAAATGATTAGAAGTGGATGGATTGACACTGTCAACACTGTCACGGCTGAAAACGTCATTGTTTGATTCCCACATGCAGGAGCAGGGTGAGGAGCCACCGACTTCTTCAAACTTCCTCTTTAAAATTCCACCCATAGCTGCAGCGCTGTCACATGTACCTGTTACAAGAACGGGAGCAACGAAGCATTGAAATATTTGACCACTGAATGTGCAGTCAAGCCCTCAAAGTCATTTTAGGGGGCTATCATGTTTGAACCACACGTCAGATTATCCTATCCATGCAGAATTTATTCTTCCATAATGCTCAAGCTCATTGAGGGCAATTCTAGTATGATTCATTGTCATTTGTATTCACATTCTGAAAACAGCAATATCTTCTAAGAAAAAGTGAAAATTAGGAATATTGAGTAAGAGCACTGCATAAGGAAATATTGTTCAGTGTTTTGAAACGTCAAAACAGAAGTCAAATACATTTATTTGATTTGTTCTAGTAAATCTTGTACTGTCATTGACAGAGCGAGAGTTCAGAATGAAATAGATCACTCACTTGCATGCTGTCATACCAAGAGCATACTGATTAGGGCATGTCTATCTTGCTTGGGAATTCTTTTTTCTCAGGTACAAAGGCATATACTTTCCTGGGGCTCTTTGTCCATCAAAAATCAAATTGGCTGCTAGGAATGGTTTTATGTGCAGAATTTAGATGCCTTGTCATGTTTTCAGTCAATTCAGCACAGATACTGGGGTTATTTGTGTCCTATGCCAAGGAGGCTGGCTGAACAGATTTGATACAGGCACACCACAGTCGCTGAATCTTTTGCTAGACAGAATATTAATCTAAGTCTCTGCACTACCTATATTATCACAGTCAATGAAAACCAGTCAGAGATAGTCAGAAGCTTGTTAATTTTGTTAGTTATTTTAGATGAGACATTCAAGTCCTATGGGAGCAATATCTTCAATGTTATGTAGTAACTGCCAAAGTTATCTGATTTGCAACCAAACACCTACAGGAACAAGTCACCTAAACAAGAGGAGAAAATGTGGTAAAATTATCAAACTATCTTTAGTCATTTCTTTTGTTTTCCTACTATTTGTGACACCAAAACTAACACACACACACACACACACAAACCAGCTGCCATGGAGTTGATACCAATTAATGGCTACTTCACTGTTCATGATCTTTTAAAATTGCTAAGATTTTTTTCCAAGGTGCCCCTGATAGATTAAAATGATCAAACTTTTGATTTGTAGACAAGTGTCCAACTCTTCGCACTACTCAGGGATTTCACTTGTTATTTGATTGCTGAGAAATATAATAGCACAAATCAAATATAAAATGGTAAGGGATACTCTGGGCCATAGTCAAGGGTTTGGCAGGGAGTTAGTAGCGTGAACTGTGGTGAACAACATGAGAATGCAGGTCCAGTCCAAAGATTAAAGCTGCTACACAGGTTCTGGTCAACTGGGTACCAACACTGTCGCTATTTACTCTACAATCTGACCAGTGCTCCATTCATTTCATAGAGCAGTCTTTGAGTTTCCCTTGAAACTACTGAGTTTCAAATTCTTTATCTCCCTTCCCTGAGGTGTAATGAGTTGAGTAGGATGGACTTTTCCGTCTTAGCCTTCCATTTTGTTTCCACTATGTCATGCAAAAGTTGGGAAAAGGGAAGAAGGATCAGTAGCTGGAAAACATGGACTTGATGACAGAAATGAAGATGGAGATAGAATGATAGAATTCTGAACATTCAATTATTTATTCATTGCAAATACCTTTTATGAGAAACACAAAATCAAGCTATACACATGGATTTCCCCTGATGGTATGCATAGGAATCAAATGGATTATCTGTGGGAAGAATCGCTGGAGAAGCTCAATATCAGCTGTGAAAACCAAGCTAGGAGCTTATTGTGGAATAGACCACCAACTACTCATATAAAAGTTCAAGCTGAAGTTGAAGAAAATATAATCAAATCCACAGGAACCAAAATTTGACCTACAGTCTATCCTACTCGAGTTTCAAAACCATCTCAGCAACAGGTTTGAGGCCTTGAACATCAATAAATGAAGGCTAAATGAGCTGTGGGAAGATATCAAGATTATCATCCATGAAGAATGCAAAAGATCATGATAAAGGCTGAAGAGGAAGAAAAGACCAAGATGGATGTCAGATGAAACTCTGAATATTGCAGTAGAGTACGGAGAAGCCAAAGCTAAAGGGAGAAATTAAGAAATTAAAATGCTGAACAGAAAATTTCAAAGGGCAGCTAGGCATGACAAAGCAAGATATTATAATGAAATGGGCAAAGTGCTGGAGTCAGAAAATCAAAAGGGCTGAACTCGCTCAGCATTTCTAAATCTGAAGGAATTGAAAACCAAATTCAAGCCACGAGTGACAATACTTAAGAATACTTTAGGCAGAAGGTTAAATGATGCAAGAAGCATTAAAAGAAGATGGCAGGAACATATAGAGTCACTGTACCTTGAAGGAATTGGCTGACACAGAAGAATTTCATGAAACAACATATGAGC